ATTATATATTTTAAATTTATATTTTACTGTTATTATAATTTAATTGTAATTAATAGACTTAAATTTAGATTTTATAAAATTAAAAATATAATGTTATTATTTAAATAATATTAGATATACAATAATGCGTTTGTACTTAATAATTTTATGGAAATTCAATATATACTATATAAAAAAATTTAAGATATAAAAGAAAAAATAAAACAATATTTTTTATTTAAATATTATTTATGATTAATAATGATTTTAATTTATTTTATTAATGTAATTTTTATAATAAATATCTCTGCGCTCTTAATATCGCGCTTGGCTCGTTATTGCCATTTTATATCGACATTCTTGATTTTAGTCATATAAGCCTTACATTCTTATTCTTATTTTTATGATTAATAATATACATATTTTTTTTTTATATATGTATTTATACTTTTACTCTTTAAAAGACTTACAAACTATTTCTATTGTGTATAATTTTGGATGTACAAATCAATTTTCTATTACAAGATAATCAGTATCTAAATTCATCAAATATATATTTAAGTACATATATTTGTGGTAACTTTTGTTTTTTAGCATCAAATATTTTTCTAATGTAAAATATGTTAGGTAATTTGCCTTGTATGTATAAATAATTTGCCTTATAAATAGCCTCTTATAAATAGTTAAATAAATAATTTACTTTATTCGATATGATATTTTTTTGCCATTTAAAAAACACATAAAATCTATTTTCATCAAGGAATCCGTCGCTTTCGATATTCATAGACATAATCACTACGATCATCTCCGTAATCACTACGGTGATCGTAATCAACGCTTGAACTATGGGTTTGTACATAGCTAGTATGTGGATGTTTCACTACTTCATAAGAAACACTTTCATGATCTGAAAAAAGTTCAATTAAGTAAAACATTTGATTTAAATTAATAGTCTATCTTTTTGTTATATGTAAAATTATGAAATCTATATTATACACAAACATTTCAAGAGTTTCCAAATGTTTGTGATCAGCAAAGTTCGCAAAATATATGTCCAAATTGGAGAAAAAACGATTATAAAATATATTAATATCACAGATCTTAAACATATAAAACAATTAAAGAAAATAACAATAAAAAATGGGCTAATAAGAGCCAACGCGGTTACAGGTGCGAATAAAAATTCCTAAATAATCTTAGGTACTATTTATTAGTTGAATAGACATGTCGGTCCACTTCGGACCATCTTTAGTAATTGTATATAAAAAAAAATATACAAAAAGAAATTAAAAAAAAACAAAGAAATACAAGAAATTCATATAGAAAAAAGGTGGATGTTTGAAATGCATTAATACATACATTAAAGGAGGATAAAGATTTACGGCGTATATTCAGCATTTAAAAGTACACAGAGTCCCAAATCCCTCCAAAAGCTTCTCTCGGAGATACCTCGCATCAGTTCTCATCGTTAGAAGAGAAAAATGCCAAACGTAATTGTAAAGCATTTACATCAAAAAACAAAAATAGTTTAAATCTTCAAAGTGATACAAAACATTTAGACAGCCCTTATTTACTAATTTTGGGAGTTTACCAAAAATCTGACCTACCGCATCTATCGTTCTCTCCACAATCATTTTTCAATATGTTTATATTATTGACTTGTTGGAGCACTGAATATCAGATTTTTAATTAATCAGATATTTATAAAGATTAGTCACAATGTTTATCTTGAGAAGTGCGTTTCGTTCACATGGATTTTCGCGCTTCTCTCGTGTTTTTCTTGACGGATTGCCTTCATTATTTCTCGGATAAATTTCATCAACAACTGTTTGTCATTTTTAATTAATTAATAATGTAGAAATAAAAATGCTTTACAATTACGTTTGGCATTTTTCCCTCCTGACAACGAGGACTAATGGGAGGCATCTCCAAGCTTTTGGAGATGTTTGGGACTCCGTGTATTTTTGAATGCTGGATATACGCCGTGATATTACTATCGTAAATCTATATTCTTCTTTAATGTATGTATATATATTAATGCATTTCCAACATCCACGGTTTTTCTGTATGAATTTCTTGTATTTCTTTGTTTTCTTATTTCTTTTTTTTTTATATACAATTACTAAAGATGGTCCGAAGTGGACCGTAATGTCTATTCAACTAATAAATAATACATAAGATTATTTAAGAGTTTTTATTTGCGCCTGTAACTCGCATTGGTTTTTATTAGCCCAGTATTTATTATTATTGACATATACAGAGCCTTGTTATTTTTGTTTTTCTTTTGGTAATTAAAGAAAAAGAAATAGAATTTTATTTAAGAGAATCGATTTATATAGGTTCACAAATTTGTACATTTTTATGTAATGTTTATTTTTAATATTCTTTTATATTTCATATACATTTCCTAAAAATTTAAATAATTGTAATTTTATCATTATTTGCTATAAAATTGTTATAAAAACGAATATATATTTGTATGCACTTTTCTCGATTATAGAAGCTTGAATTTGTAATAAATGTAAAAATAAATAAACTCATATAAGATGATAAATTTTAATTTGATTTACCTACCGTATCTACGTACCATTCTTTTTTAGAATTGCAGCAATAGCAATTGCTAAAGCTATTTTGGCAATTACTACTGCTTTTCCTGCGAGAGCTGCAACTCCATGTAACAATCCGTAAATCAATGCTGCTTTCATAGCTGCAAACAAATATAATAATACTCTGTTGCCTTTTTTATCTTTCTTCCTAGCAGAAACTGAAATGAAAAAACAGCGACTATTAATCACATTATCTACTTCAAAATCGCAATACTAAATTATTATTAATCGCAATATTAAACACTATTAAATTGTTTTAGTAATCTCAATTTTAACAAAATTGAGATTTTTTATATTGTAAATAAATAATATTATTTATTATAAATAGTATTATTTTTTGTAAAAATAATAAAAATATTTGTCGAAAATATATTTTACAATTTATGGTTTCTTGTTAACACGTTATCTCATTTTGATTATTTTATTTAATGTTGGTGATCCAGATTAAAATTATTGATGCTTGATACAGGTTAATAAAAATTATCATACACTCTTTTAACTTTTTTTTGTATTAATAATTTCTCATTTTTTTACAAGCTGAATATCAAGTGCCAGGTTTTTAAGATTATGCATAGTAAATAACTGAAAACAAATACATATTTCTACATTTTTTAAATAATAATTTTGTACAAAAAAGAGAAATATTATTACCAAATGTTTTTCCTTTTTTTTACTTATTATATTAGTATAATGTATTCTAATTGAAATTCTCTTTGGGATAAAATATTTCTTTTCCCGTATAAAATTTCTTCAGAAAATATGAGAGATGCAAATACATTTATTATTAATTTTACTATAAATAAATTTACAAGTTGATTTAAAAGATAAGAGGAAACTTTTTCTCTTACCTTCAGCTACATTATTGTCATCTAGGGATTTTTGTCTAATGTCTCTGCTAATCTGTGTTTCATTTTCGCGATCGGACGAGGAAGTTTTAAACGTTTCATTGGTTCCACACGTGTTATTTCCATTGTCAATACACTCGATTATCTCCGAAGTTTTTAGAAGAAGCTTTCTGTTTACAGGCTCGCAAGAACAAATGGCGATGAAAACGCCTAATATTAGAAATCCGAAGAGCCGCCAAAGCATGTTCGACAAGAACTGACGGTTTGTGCTATAGATCGTCATCATTTATAGGCGCTACCAATTAGTTGTAATGGCGGAGCAAAGTGTTGTTACGACATACAGAGCGTGAATGCATCTATGGTAAAATGCATCATGCGCGTAAAATTATTCCACAACCAGTGCTACAGAACCGGTATTCCGCATGTTTCTACACATATGTGATGGCTGTATATGTATATAGCCAATACATTGTATTATCAACAATTATCACAATGTTAAACGGAGTACATGAAGCGCAATAAAAGAATAAATTTCAGCAACATCATTGTGTTCGCCTATCTGAAATATGGAATAATGTATACGTGAAGATGCGCGATATGTAGAAGTTTGGCTCGCATTCTGAACATTCGAATTTATGCTTAGTGAGATAGATAGATAAAAAAGAAGAAAAAAAAAGAATACTACGGAGAGTATTAAGTAGATGAAATTTGAAATTCATTTTAACATCGAACAACAAGCATCGATGAATATGTTGGTCAAAAAGAGAGAGAGAGAGAGAGAGAGAGAGTAGCTTTTATGCAAGTATTACTATGTATTTTATGCTTATATGTATGTAATGTTATAGATTCATAACTTATGCACGAAAAAGATAAGTTATTTCCGACATTAAATAGACCGACAATAGAAACGTTAAAGAAAGCAGAAAATAATATGAAATATATAATTATAATTCACCGTTACTAGTACTTTATTTATCTTCCACACGCAAATTTTCTCCAATATTTTCGAGTTAGTTAATTGATTTAAGATATCTATTGTTAGTTATTAAAAAAATAAGGAAATTAATTAATTAAATCTTTCATTGTGTCAAGTCAATATTGATGTTACATATCCTAGCAATTTTTCAACAATATTTTAATTGTAAGTAAATAGTTTTAATTTTCATCTCTTATATGCATATTATCCTCAATTATATGTCACCAAACAGGAAGCGATAAAAGAAATCATTACATTACGATGAAAAAGTTGCTCTGATTTTATTATCCATTATGATGTATTAAACGCACGCATGAGCTAAATTAAACAGATAAGTAGATTGTCACCAAGTGAATGAGAAGCTTGCTTTTCACTTGTTGCAGCTCCCACGATTCTTGTGCGCCAGAAAGTGGAGAATAAGGCCTAAAAAGCATGATCTTTTTCTTCGACGAGTGTTTTGTATGCCACTGGGCCAATCGAGCATCCTCGATTCACTACTCAGAATATTCAGGGTTACAGCCTCCGAAGGTTACCGGCTACACGCATCCTAACATGACATGAAGAATGCAACTTCCGCACTTTACTATCTAGCGTCTGAGAAATTCTTCGTATATTCTCAGTGTTAATATGAAGTATAATTGAAGTTCTGTTATTTTCTCTAAAATAAATTTTCAGCGTTCAACAATATTTTCAACAATATTATTTATTCATTTATGTGTTTGTAAATCTTGTTTTACGTAAATTTAATTTTTTAGTATTGTTTTCTTTTTGTACGGTGACATCTGTTTCGAGTAATTATGTTTGAGATTATTAAAATAATTTTTTGCCGTTACACGCGCGTGCCGCTTCAATTAAATCAATTCCAAGGTTATGAATTGTGGTATAAATTCCCTCATTTTACTCTTAGATTTTCGCGGATAAGCATGATCTGGTAATGAGCTAGGTCAGAATCCTCCGCGTGTGAATCGCTAGAACCACCTGTTGCTGATCGTTGACCTGAATCTAATAAAAGGCAGAAACATACTGTTCTTGTCTAAAATATCTCTCGAGAAAATCGCTCATGACGGTATAACCTATTGCCTCACTTTTATTATTCCAAGCTATGTTCTGTCATAGACATGCTTCTGCACAGATGAAATCTTTATTATGTGAGCCGCTTTTTCAACTTGACTAGATTATCTATTTATATTCTGGTTTAGTAGGATTCGATTCAATGATATATGGAGCTTATTTTAATTCTCAGATTTCTTCAGAAGGACTAGTAGTATATTATCGTGATACAATAGTGAAATTTAAAAAATCAAAAAATATTCTCTTGGAGAGCTTTCGCGAATTAAACGCCGAGAGACGACCGAGATAGATGTATCGTCATTAAGATAAATGTTTTGATTGAAATGTCCTACTTGTCTACTTTTGCGAACAATCAAAAGCCCAAATCCGCGTTTGCGACTTAAAATTTGAGCGGTATCAGATAATTACAGATAATAATGGGATCCAACTATGCGTAGGCTCATTGCGGCGGAATCCATTTCTCGCGCCGTTTGTGAGAATATAACTGCGCGCTCAGAATGTGGCACGGGCCTTAATACAGTTAAACACCGTCTATGTGGGCCCGTGGCACTGACTATGGGATAATCGCGAAGTAGGTAACAGCATGGAAGATGCATCGTTGGCTGTTGTCGCATTAGAGATGCGCTAACCTCGATTGAATGTGTCGGTGGTGTGTCGCAGGCTCAGCTTCACGCTTCTAACGAACCGTGATACGACAAGAAAATAGAATACATTGGGTCCGGCGATCTTATATTGCAAGTTTACACACGTTATTAATCTTTTCGAACAGTATACTTTTGTACTGGAAAGCACCGACATTTTTTATCTTTTGCATACAATTTATATCAATCTGTCGAAAGAAATTAAAGTCTTTGTTCCTCTATTATAATCAATAATAAAAGATATTGAAGTAATTATTTTACAAAAAAATATAATTTTTATAAAACTTCTAAATCTTACTTTTTTAATTACTTAAAAATAATATTTATTTTCTAATAATCGTAAATCGGTATGAAAGCATTCAATGTAATGAATATCTTAATGTAATCGTAATCAATATACGAATGCATATGTACATTAAGATTGACAGTAATTGAGTAAAGTAGTTAATTACATGCTATAAGATTTTTGCTTCTATGTTCCATGCTCGTAATATTCGTTCATAGTAATTTTCATTTGTATTAACAATTTCCATTTATTGCTATTACGAAAACGAACGTGAATTGATTTATGTAACGCGTGCTAACGATTATAAGCAAGATGTATATAATCAAAATGCAATTTGTGCAAAAGTGAGATGTAATGCAATTGTAAATTTACTGTTACGTAACGTAGTAGTATCATAACTGTATAATTATAGAGCGTGTTAATTGTATTACGCTCGTCTTACTTTATTGTCAATAAATGCTGTTAATAAATCTGGAACAAAAAAAATTTCTTCTCTAAAAACACATCTAACTAAAGAAATAATTAGCAAAAATAATCTTTCTATTTATACAATGATTGTTTATTTAAATCCTAGAGTGATAATTAAGAGTTAGCTGAGATAAAAAATCAGTCGGTGACGAACCATTTGCAACAATTCGCTACATTTAGCATATATACGAAATATATAATTGATTTTCATTATTATAGTTTTTAAATATCGCAAATACTGCATAATGAGAATACACATGTGTGTACACATTTCGCGCCGCAGGGAAACTTACGATAGGAAGGTCATGAGCTGTCCGCAGCCTGAAACTAGTTTCTAGCATCCTCACGTTATGCGGGGGTCAGCGAGATCACGGTGCCAGGTACGTTGCCAATGAAATCCACGATGCTCCCCTCTGGTTTCATCTCGGCACGCTGCTTCTCCTCCCGCGCGAGATACGAATCTCGATGTGGTTGCATACAAACATAGCGCAGGAAACCCATATACACAGTTCTTCTCCGGTGTATAAACATACGTAGTCAACACGGCGAAATTTAATGAACGAATCGCGTGGCGGACGTTCAACGATGTCTCGATCTCGAAGCGCGAGTGGGTCTCTGTGTCAGGAAGGGTCACATACTCTTGGCGCACTACCATTATGAGAATTTTTATCCCGTTCCCGTTCCCCGCCGCGATAGCAGCTGTCTAGCGCGCTGAAAGAGAAAGAAGAGGATGAAAGGACGAGAGCTCGCGAAGAGGAGAGGATAGAGAAGAGGATCATCCACTCATACATTGTAAGGTCGTGTCGTCACGTGCACTGGCACATCCGTTCGTTTATACGAGAGAGAGATACCTTCACCCCCTTCATGAAGGATAGCATCTAGATGGATGGCTCCTCGCTGGTATATATCGGTCTGGCGACTTCGTCCTGGCGCCAGTTCTCTCTAGTCGAGGATCATCCAACACGTGGGTGCGCGCAGCCTCTTGTAGTATCCACTGCGAATTTCGAGTCGCGTGTACCGTGTGATCCCGACCAAAACGAGGTGTCTGTGATTTAGTCTCCGACTTTTTTTCTGCCCAGTCAAGCGTCCGCGAGTTTCGGAAAGCTGTCCGGGTCCAGGATGTCGGCGATTAAGAATTTATCGAAGTGCGTGCTGCTCTTGTTAGTATGCAGTGCAACTATTCACGCCGACGAGGACGGCGGATTTCTTGAGCGAGGATACCGTGCTCTTTATCGCGTCTACGAGGAGTGCGAGCATCGCAATATGGCCGTATCGCCGTGTTTGAAGAAGAAGGCGATCACCTTCTTCGAGAGGCTCGGTCGTATACAGACCTTACCGATCGGCGACAATCTCGAGCTGATCAGAGTCGCGCCCTTGACAAACGATAGCTCGAAGGGCACAGTCTCCGATCTGGAGAAGACCTTGGCCAGGACCAACGGAGGTGCCACGGACGAGATCCTCAACAATATTTTGTTCGAGCGCGTGGCCGCGCTGTTGAACAGTTTCAACGTGCAGATCAGCTTACCAAAGACGACTTCCGGCGACTTAAAACGGAGCGTCGAGGAAGGTCGAGGAAAGATGAAGAAGATGATGGGCATGATGATGATGGGAATGGCGATGAAGATGGCCGCGCTAATTCCCATCGCTTTAGGTGTACTTTTCCTATTAGCTGGCAAGGCGCTCATCATCAGCAAGATCGCCTTAGTGTTGTCGTTGATTATCGGATTGAAGAAGTTACTGAGCCAGAAACAGAGCCACGATCACGGTGGCTGGCAGCAAAGTGGCGGCTGGGACAGGAGTCTGAAAGGAACCGTAGGCACACCTGTTCCATTAATGAAGGAAACCGATCGCGAGTACGCTCAGACCTTGGCGTATAGCGCGCGACAGCAGCATTGAATAATTAAAAGCTGAACTAGAAGCAGAAGATCTTCAGGTATCTGGGAGAGAGCAACGCCTGTATCCAAAGGAGCAGATAATACGCGATATCCGAGACAGTTCAAGACATTGAAATAGATTTATAAACTTATTTTTACGGTATATTTTATACACTGCGCAATCCGTTTATAAAATTCACACTCATTCACGCGCAACCGCATAAATTATGAGAAAAGAAAGAGTATAAGAATAAAATGTATCAATGACATTAATATCGAAATAGCAAATTGTGAGGAAAAATAAGATAAAAATCTTAAAAATACTAAAAGTAAAAAAGAAAACTCTAATAAGCGCGAACTGTCTCAATCGTGTAACTCTTTTTTAGAAGTCTAATCACTTTTTGAATAATTATTGATATGAAAATAATTATCCCGTAATTTTTCGCTTTTTAAATTAACGGTTATGTCATAATGTAATATGCCGGATATAATGAAATAATATAAAAAATCTTCTGTAAAAAGCGGAAAATGCGTGAACCACAGCTGGAATATAAATAGCTACGTCGAGCAAACATAAAGCAAAAGGAGTTGTAACGGCAAGTGTTTGTATTTCCACTACATCGGCAAATAATCTAGCGAAATGATAGCGAGAGAGTAATCTTCACGCACGCGAACTTCTAACGGTGACGGTTTAGAGATTTTCGTATTGACAATCGTAACGCGATCAATCTTGAAGTCGAGCAAAAAGATGATAGACTTCATCGTTATTTATTAGCCGAATTTGGAATCGTTTCTCAGCACTTGTAATATTTATATTTATTTATAGTACTATTACACACACACACACACACACACACACACACACACACATACACACATGTAGAAGGCAAAATATTTATTTTAGACTTATAAAATAACCTTAGGGAGAGAGTTTTTGGAATGTGTAGCTTGAGACAAGTACTTATATATATATACACAAATATCTTTATCGACGTTACTAAAACCGTGTGTTCAGTAGAGTAAGTGTGACGATTAAAACACTTGAATATTAAAATGTAGCGAATAAGATATATACTAATTTAATTCTCTGTTAATATTTATTACATAATAATAACGCATATATATATGTAACATTTTAGAAGACTTAACATGCTTATTTCGTAATTATCATAGTAGATGCGGTATCATTTTGCGTAGCGTTTTTCCACTCTTATGGTGTCTAGAACGTCGGAAAATAATTTTGGCTTAATATATCATGTTTATAAGTACATACTTGGCGATGCGACGCATTCTACGAGATGTATACGACATGTATACGTTTGACCCCCGAGAAGCGATTATAAATTCGGCCTTGAGTGTTACTTTGTGTACACAGGCGTTCAATATTCTCAAACAAATATCGATTAATTACACAAGTTTTACCTGACTGTAAATTATTACGAAATAAAGTCATATGTTATTTCCACTTTATGCATTCTTGATGCGCGTCCTTCCCAGAAATTCTCCAAACATCGAACTTTGCTGTCAGTGTACTTTCAATCCTAAAACTGCGGCGAATAGAGCGAAGAAAAATCCTGCAAGAAGCGTCGTTCCTTTGAGAAGGAACAGACCACCGAGTATTGCTGGTATCAGGGCAATAAATTTGAGCTTGTACGCTATTAATAACGCCAACATTGTACGATGGTGGCCCGTTCTCCGTCTACGTGCTTGATCTAAAACTCACGTCACAAAGAATATTATTAGAGTATATAAGCGTAATTTAAATTTATTAAATCACAGAAACATAAATTATGTATTCTTAAATACATTATTATTTAATATTAAAAAATTCCGTATTAAATAATAATTTTTCAAATATAATACTGACTATTAACGAAAAAATCGAATAAGGTTTTCTCTTTACAATATCGTTATAGTAGTTAAAATTTATTTCATATATAAACCTAAAAATTAACATAGTAAATGGCATAGATATCACTTATTAGTGGAAATAAGAATATATTCTGAAAGTAGAAATAAGAATATATGTCATATCACGTTTAATAAAAGCCATATCACGTTATAATAAAAGGCATTATGATATCAAAAAAACCGTTATACAACGGTATTATTCATCACGCTTCATCAAAAGACGACACAATTTAAACGTAATGCTCGCTATTATATTTTTTTTTGAGCCAGCGTTGTATAGAAGCGTTTCTGCCATTAAACATTTTATGACGCTGATTGTGATTAGTTACCTCGCGCCTCCACTCTGCTCGTAGGCTGTGCACTATGAATGTCCTGAACGTGCATCTCGGCCAGCGTGTCTCTGGCGACGCGATCACCGGTTGAAAAAATAGGCCTTTCAAACGTGACATTGTTGTACGTATACCTGAGAATCTTCCTGCTGGAAGTGACGGCTTTCTCCTCTTCCTCTTGCCGCTTCTCCTGCAACGATCTCGAGTACTCCATCGCGCGGCTGACACAATTCAAGGTCAGCAAAATCGCAATCAGATTAACTCTCGATAGCATCTTTTCCCGCGTTCATGAAGAACGGGCTTGACGACTGACAGAATCTACTCGCGGTTTCGTCCACGATCTTGCTCCTCGAAGATATTATTTTATCGTCATGGCATCATCACGCATTGGCTGTTTGTCCAGACGCAGTATCCAAGAAATGTTTTCTCGAATCATCCGAATAGATAGACACTTATTTTTTTGTTTGGCGATGTGGCGATTCACGAGAGACGAGCTTTATGGCTCGTCACAGCATATCTCTTCTATTAGCCGTGTTGCTCTTTTCTTATTCTATATGTTTTACTCCGTATGTATACGGGATTTTTGATTAATTTTTGACAGGGGCACGCAGGTACTGCGCACCAAGTACAAACAGTGTAGAAAGATAGAATGAACGGTGCAACGAGCAACCGTGAACTAACTGATCCACCGTTGATTCCTCGACGACAAACCGACCGGACGCCGCGGATGCCGCGTCGGGCACGCTTCAGTTGCCGGGAAAATCGGCAGTCCGTGAAAAATGAGCTCCGACCGGCAAGCCAGCGATATATACGTGTGTGGTAAACACTATGATCCAAATTGTCAGTACCGATATATATGTCAGGTTATATTGCAGAACGGTATACGATGGAGGTGGTTGTCATAGATAAGGAAGTTTCTGCGGGTGTTCCTGCCGCGCAAGAGAAAGGGAGTCGAGGCATATCTGCGGCTGGGTGGGTTACAGGGGCAGAAATAACCTTGCAAAACACGACAGCAACACGTCGGCGTCGTTTTGCGACGAATGCGGCTTTTTCAGTTACGCAGATATCCGGGCTGACAAGAACTCGATGAATGGTTCTCGTGTTCTCGTGTCTCGTTGGATGCTATCGCGATTCGATTTTTGCTGAATTTTTCTATCTCGAGAAAAGTCAGTTCATAAATTTGATAAATAATTCTCGAATTTGATAAAACACTGATAAAATCCTGCATTTCCACGTCGTTATGCCAGATGATACTTAAACTAGTATTTCTGTCTGTTTACATATAAATTAGAATATTCTTAAATTTTACTGTAACTAATTATTAGAAAATATTAATTATTTTGACAAGTAATTAACGTCTCTTACATAGATAAATAATTTTAAAATTAGCTTAAAAGTTGAAACATGAGACAAGATTATATTTATATTTTGTTGACATGTTATCCAATCTTTTATAAGTAAATAATGTTTTAACTTTTCAAGTTAAAATCAAGTTAAAAACGGTATTTGATTTAATTTAGTTTTAATATATATAGATCTTGTAAAAACTGTATTATTCCGTTTCACTTCACTCTACCCGCTTTTTAATTCCATTACGCCACAGAAATCTTTTTTAAATCTCTCTTATCGATTGCTTCTTTCGTCAGAGCATCTTACACTTATCACAGAGCATCGTGAACTGCACTACAACCTACATTTTGCTATATATTTATCCGAACCATCTGAAATACTAAAGCACGTAGTTTACATCTGAGTGCATACTAGGATGTTGATGTTGTATATTGCTGTAATAGCGAGTAATATAAATGAGCATCTTGTCCATTGCAGGATAGGAAACTAGAAATTTACATATTTAACATGCGGAGATTATAAATGATCGGTCGTTTATAATTTCGACGAGGTCTATTTTTTAAATCATGCTCAACAAACACGCGGGTTGCTAATAAGCCACAACAGCTTTAAATGATCCTTGAAACCCGAGCATATTCTCTTCTTGTTGCGTTTAATGTACCAATCTACATATCTAGATATATGGGTTCGAAATTACTTATATATTTTCTTCATCCAGTCACTTTTCATCCGCGAGATCTAAAAATAGTGCAAAAAGTTGCAATGTATCGACGTTTTAAAATAAATTAATTAACTAATTGATTAATTAATTTAATAGATTTCTCATTCTTTTTCTCAATAATATAATTTAGAATGTCCAAGAATATTGTTCCGTAATGTAATACAACATAGAGATTTAAATATAACACGAAGACTCTAACAATAAGATTGCGCCATTAAATAATAAAGCAATGGAATATTTGAATTATGTTCGCGCACGAGATTCATGAAACAGAAGTGTTGCCCAGCGTGAAATATTCCGGTTTTATCATGTGATTAATAGCTTGATAGTATAGCATTTTCCAGCAATTATCACCTTCTTATCTGCTCTGAAAATCACGAGTCACACTCTCCACGTTGGACAAACTGATGTTTAACAGCTATTATCGTGTATATACTCTCTCCGCGACTTTCTTCATTCTCGGATATTGCGTTCAGCCAATTTCACCAGTAATAAGCCTATATATTTACAATAGTAGAGAGAATCTGCATGCACTGATTACTGTTCACCGGTATTGATATTGTCTTTTTTGGATGCAGTATTTCTAATTTGTACTAATAAAGAATATCGCTTATTAATTGTCAGAGGTATATATACAGCGCTACTTTTACATTTATTTAGTCATATTAGTATTAGTTACAATGTGTTTATCGCTCTTGAAACCGTCAGACTAGTTATTTGAAGACAAATTATACTAACGCATTAGTAGAGTCTCTCGTGTATGAAGCCGGGAAGCCACATATCGGTACAATAATTTTATTCATGTGCCACCTAGATGTATTATCTCAGATTTCCTGGAAAAAGAGTAAGGGATAATTTGACTGTTTCCTTCACGAACTTGAATCCAAATTGACATTAGCCGCGATGAATAGAAGGGAGACCGGAAGATGAAATGAAGAAGACGAATACATTGTTGATTACGCCTGTTAAATTGCCATTGTCATATTACAGTTATTTTTTTTTGGAGAATATAAATTTATATAATAATTATTACTCTACATTTTGTGACTAATAAAATATAATTATATGTATAATGTTATTACAATTAATTCTGAAATTACTATAAATTTTCGAAAAATATCTCAATTACTAATTAATTTATTATTAATCAATTATTTATTAATTGTTTTATCTTTAGCATTAAAAAAAATGTTAATCGGTTTTAAAACGAATAAAAGAATTTTGCTAATGTGTCAATAAATGATATTGTAAAATTATTGAAAATTTTTATATGAACATAATGGATATGATTTGCTAAACTTATTTACATGAAACTGTTATTATTACTTTTAGTTATGATCCTAATTTTGATGAATAACAGACGCTCACAAAGGAGTCCGTCATTAACGACATAGTAGCTCCATTCGTAAAGTAAATTTTTTTTAGTATGTATAACGGTATAAAATAATAAAAGGTACTTGACCATAAATTGAAACACGCATGAGAGTTTCAAAAAATTATCTTTTGAATAAAAAAGTATGCCTGTATAAATTGCAAATAAATTTACCAGCGACTTATTAATAATGACACTCTTTTTGTGTGTGTGACCAAAATTATTTTCAGCAATATTGACTCTAGTTTTCGTAATTTATCTATAAATTTATCAAAAAATTTCTTTCAATGATAAAGATACGTTTGTGTCTAAATCAATAGAAGATTTATCAATATAATAAGAAGATTTATCAATATACATATATATAAAGAATTTTATATATACATATATTTACTGCTTCAACGTTTGGCTATCATGCTCAGACATGCAATATCATTTTTCTCATGTGATAAATCAATTGATGAGCATAAAACCAGATCTTTTTGCAGTCTTTACTGACTAATTAGTAAGTCTTGCTTTCTATAAAGCAAACTGTCTTGTGTGATTAATAATTGATACTTAAGTTTATACATTGCAATAAAAATATATTATTCAGTAATATCGTTTGTTAAAATCTCTAAATTAATTGATTTTATTATTTTAACTTCCATGTAATTATGTAGCAAAAAACATACTTTAGATGATTTGTAATTCACGACAAGACTTGGAACAGAAATCTATAATATTTATAATTTTATGCCTATATTCTATATTCTATATGCCTGTAATAATATGTATGTATATCTTAATATATATTTTATTTCTTCTAACGTTTCGTTCCAAATTATAGATTGTTTAAAGTGAGGTTTATACGACAGTATAATTTTGGTATATAAACGTAGCAAATTAGTTATATATTATTACCGTTGCAATAATCAATATTATTTAATTGATTACCTTCAATTATACATTCGCTTTCAAAATAAAATGGCGTAAATTGAATTACTTCTGGTTTACTTTTCAGCGATAAGCAGGCCGCAGGTCACGAGCATTGGAAGCACGTCTCTTATGCTGTAACTATTCGAATGTGAAACAAATTCAATAGAACCATATACTCTCACAACAGAGAATAATGATGGTGAGGATGTTCGACGGGGAGAATGATCCATTTACTCCGGTCGAAATATTCCAAGGAAGATCCTTCGTCGAGAATGGTCAACGTAAACAACGACCCAATGATCGAGGTAGACTATAGCTCAGGTGGTACGGGAGTGGACGTTGGATCCTTCGTTACGCATCAGTACCAGGTTAGATGGATAGTCTCCTCCTCTGAGCTTTTCACGGTCCTAGTATATAAACTAATTCCGGTTTGGCATGAATGTCAGTTAAAATATTATTGGCCAACAAGTCGGTTGCGATCGTGAGATACGAGCAGTTTTCGTTTTTGGGATAAAACGTGATCGTAGAGTTTGTTGCAAAAAAAAAAAGAAGAACTTCAGATGCTAGAAAGATGTTACTGCCATCCGTGCTGATTTTACTGCCCGTTATCGTCGCAGCGCAAGAATCACAATCAATGAACACGCTGGATCGAGAGATACTACGAAATGACGGTTCTAAAGACATTTTAGATTGGATTGGTGGAAGCTTTCTAAATGCCATTGACGCATTTTTTCCTGGTTCGAAATTGTACGGTAATATAGAAGGTATATCGACAATAATAAACATTTCTGGTTGGACAACCATAAAGAAAAATAATATTATTAAAATATATTGACTATGATTATTGTTAAGTTTAATCAGTGTTTAATAATATTTTTAGCAAAAACTTATATTTTTTACTTATCCTAAAAAATTACATTTTAACTTATATATTTTTATACCAAGCATCAAAAAGGAATATTAAGTTGATATATACACAAATATATATAACATTACTTTGAAGGAAGAGATAGTATTAATATCTTTACATTAATAACTTTTAACAATTATATATTAATAATAATTTTACAAATTCTTTATTTTTAATAACTGTATTAAGTAATGTTAGACAGAAAAAATCAAAACAATAGAGAATTTAGGATATTTTTAATAAGCGCAGAAAAAATTAAAATAATTACTTTATGTGCAGTATAGTATCAAAGTACTGTGCTCGCGTAAAACTATTAATCGCATTTCGGTATACATTGTTAAACACAATTTTTTGGGGATAGCAACAAACTCTTTTTGTAACAAATCTTATATAAAATATCTTAAAAAAGAATTGTTAGATAACGAAACGGCTGATATTATAATGCGATATTTTAAACTCTTAATCATCAAAGAACTATATATAATTGGTGCGGTACAATAATAATTGGTACAATAACTTGGTGCGAAAGGAAATTATGAGACATTGCATGTTAATCAAATGCTGTTAAGGAAGCGTATAATTACACATGTCGTCCATTAAATATGATGCTTTTGGATTTACGACGCGAAGTTTCCCGATACAAAAACATAAGTGCTCTCTTTCTACTCTACTTCATTTTATTAATTTCCACGATGATCGTACTTAATAAGGGAAGTATACTTCGATAAAGCTCGCCATATACATCCCGGTTTTCTCGAGAAAGCAAGAGATTCTTCTCTACAATATTTAATATAATATTTTAAACCAACGCGATTAATAGAACGTTACACGCAATGTAGTACAATATGTTGAGAAAGAGGACATATGATACATATATATACTTTACTTAACAGTGCCTTTATATACAATATAAAAAAATGTAAATATAATGATCTTATAATACGTTTACATATAGTCTTTTTGTTATATCTAGATTTTTGTTTATTGAATATTTGTTTTATTAATTACAGAAAGTAAAAAAACAAAGACGAAGTTGAATAAGTATATTATACCTTTGATCGTTGGATTTATACTAATAAAATCGATTCTACTGCCTCTAACATTGAAGGCATTGGCTATTCTAAGTGGAAAAGCCGTCGTGCTGAGTTTGATGAGTTTGATACTGGCAGCCATAGTCGGATTGAAAAAAGCCGCCCAGGAAGGCAACTACGAAGCGAACAAGTATAGGCGACAGGATACATATGATTTCATCGATAATATACAAGAGTTTGAGCCTTATAAAATTTACAAAGAACGACGTAAAAAGAAGTGAAAAAAAATTAATAACAGTATAAAATTCTTTCTGTTATAATTGCTCATTCTTATTTTTATATAAATATTTGTCGTACTTGGGAATATTAATTATACTTTGATACTTGATACTTTGATAAAGCAGTTGAAAAAAACAATGTTATATAAGAAAATTAAGAATAATGTTTCTTCTTTGTAATTTTAATATAACATTCTTTAACAGTCTTATTTATAATTATTTAATGATAATTATAATTATTTAATGATTATTTATTTATTTATTTTAGTATCCAAGTATAATAAAATTAAGTTCAGACATTGTAAATATAATGTATACAGAAAAAGCATAATATACGTTATCATATATACCAAATACTGTAAAAGTCTCTCTTATTCAAATTGATATCACTGAAAGAGAATTTCACGATGGAAATGTGTTACTTGTCCATGCTAATTGTGTTAACTGCAACATACGATAATCGAACGCATACATTTGTGAAAGTTGCGAGAGACAATGGAAACTTACAGGCAGAAACATATAAATACGTACAATGCACTTATTCATTTACTATAGTCTCGATATGATAGTAATGTAGAGAAATTTTAAGATGAGTTATCCGAATGAATTCCGACTCATTTCACTGGCGTGATGTAAGAAAGAGAGAAAGTTCCTTGATTCAGCAAGGAACTAGTTTGTAAGCAGCGTGTCCATTTTCCAGTGTAACCACATCAAAGTTAAATTATTCAGCCATAAAAAAATAAACAAAATGTTTTCAATATAAATTTGACCGCCACAATTATGATGTGTATGAATTAATGTAATTAAAGTACAAATATTAACCATATATTAATTATAAAAAAAATAAATGATTGTAACTATTACAAGAAAAGTATTTATTTATTATCGTATATAATATATGTTATAATTGTTCTCTTTAACTTCCGTATTGTTTAAATAAGTATAACCTTAATGTAAAATATTCAAATTAAACAATATATATACATACATTGTACGACAAAAGATTGAGAGAAAGCGAGAAAAGGAACCATTAGTCGCATTCATGAGAAGAATAAGACGGGAAAAAATAAAGATAAGATTGGAACTTTCTTCTGACCCGAATATAGGTTGTCGACCTTCAATTCTCTAAGCCCTGCGCAGTTGAAAATGCCCTTAAAAGGTTTTTATCTATTGTGTAATCAAATTTTTCCATATCATGTTTACAATATAAATAAGCAGAGTATGTAAAAAACATAAAATTGTGTATATGTGTATGTGTATTGATAATAATTTATATTAATTAAATACGATTACGGAAGAAAAAATGCTGCAATTATTATGTCAATTCTTAACTTTCTATATCGTACAATAAATAAGTTAATAGGATATTTTATTTTCTGAAAAAGGAAAAAAATATATTTTTAAAATATCGACAAATTCGCCAAACTAAGGATTGCCGAATTCCTCTAAAGTACCATATTTTTCTTTATTGTAGTAGAGGAAGTAAACGACGGCACCGACGGTACTCGTAACCCAGAAAATTAATCGCAAAATTGTCTCCGCTCCTTCCAAGTCGGATACCGTTATACCGAAGATGACAAAGTCCCCTCATACCTGTTAAATATTTAAACAGATTCACATGGAACACAATGGAATTCCTCCCGCGAATAAGTTATCTGTTACCTTTCTAAGTAGTTGCCACTTGAAAAGTAACATCATAATGGCTTTACTGTGGATTATTGTTTCGTCATGTGACACCAATTTCTGTTAATTCGGCATATATTTTTAGCATGAATTTTAATAAAATCAATAGATGACAAAGCTAAGAAAAGTATGTGATCATCATAAGAATCAATTATTAATTTTCTATTTTACAGTGAAAGTGTGTTACAAGCATCGCTTACTCACGTAACAATTTAAAACAAATTCGAATATGCGGTTGCTTTCCCTATTTCAATCTCAATTATATTTCACGATATTTTATACGTGATGTAATAAAATAATGACGAGTGAACAAAAAAGTCAACAAGTAAAAAATTTTATTAGCTCGGGTTATATCAGAAAACCTGTCGAAGATGTAATCTGTAGTTCATGTATTATGGCCATGTGTCTGGGTCAAGGTAAGCCAGCTTGATGCACGTGTTTCTACTGGAATGCATCGAACCATTCTAAAGGATACAGAACTGTGGTATCTAAAAAAAATTTTAAATGATGCTTCAAATAGAAACTTTAAATTAAATTGATTTACTATATTGCAATTTAACAGATTGTTTGATATAATTTTAAATATTTTTGTTAAAATTTGTGTGTGTGTATTTATTTTACACAGTATGTGTGTGTGTGTACTTATTTTATTCATAATTTTAAGATAAATTACTACTAGAAATTGTCAACACACATTTAGTGCCGCCTAAATGCACACGCACACGCTATTTGTAAGAAAACCGGGTATCAGTTATCGTAAAACATTGTGCAATCGTGAATGGCGGTAAGGTGCGAAATGTATGCAAACCTCTCACCTCCATTGTTGTCGATTCTCTAAACAATCTGCTGAATGTGTTAGAAAATATAGAAAGTGCCGTTTATCAAAATGTTATTAAATCTGCAATTTCGATAAAAGAGAGGGGAAAAAAGTTTTACATCTTTTGAAATAAAAACCGCAATTATAAATACAATTATAAAATTAAGTCACGCTTCTTTCAATTGATCAAGATATTATTAGGTTTTCACTCAAATCCCTCAAATCCCTCAGTCCTTTTTCTTTATGAAAAAATAATCTCTGTAAATCCCTAATGAATATTATCTCCCCTACTGACCTAAATACTGAGCGGTTATTGTGGTAAACACAGTGATGTCTCCCATGTTAAAAGGAACGACTTCTAGGTCCGCCCAAACGGTGACGCATTTCTCGGCGTTTGTTTAAAAAATTATCGAAGAAAGTTTTCTGGGGAGGTGGCCATTGCCGACATCTATAATGATGAGTCGTTCGTCTCACACGTCGTCGTCATATACGTTGTCGTCGGCCAGAGTGGGGGATATCGAGGAGGGTTCTCTACATGGTGCACACCTATAAAGATTGAAGCGACGCAGGGCCAGGTCACACTTTGTTCCGAAAATTTTCCGGAGAGTAGTTCTCCGTTTCTCCGGCTGCTGCTTCTCGGTGTTCCGTACCGCGACGATTCGACGAGTGATTAGACGACGAAGATGAACAAATTGCTGGCACTGGTACTTCTCGCTGCGTGTGTCGTAGCTGGACCTACGAACGTTCCCGTGCAGCCGTCCCAGGATCTGGATTGTTTGGAGCACGACAATGCTCTCGTCAGTTGCATCTTCGTCAAGACAATCGGCGCTCTCGATAGAGCGGCTCGATCGAGCGACATTGAGATCGTCGACGGCGTGACTTTTGTACGGGACTTACCGAGTAAGTTTTCACATTTATTTTATGTCGAAACTTATTGAGTTATATTTTGAAGAATGCAGAAGCGACTTGATAAAAAATCAGAACGTTATTAAATTTTTAGTAACATTTAATTTTGACCATCTTTTTACAATTAATATTATAAAATTAATATTGTACAACATTAATTTTAAACAACATTGATTTTATCATAATGTAAAATTATTATTATAATATAAAATATAGTAAATATAATATGTATATCATATACATACATGTATTAAAAATTAGTATTAAAAATACTTATAGAGTAGATATCTAAACTTAAATAGATATCAAAGATATAAATATAAAAGATGTAAAGAAATATGTTATACAATTACAAAAAATTATTTAGTTGCTTTTAAATACGCTTAATAAAATTAAGCAAAATATGTACAGTATACAGTATAAATATACATTGAGTTTTGTTTGTGGAATACTGTAAAAATGATAGCAATTTATATAGAAAATTGATAGTTTATTATTTTACCAATAAAAAAAATTGATTGTGTGATTATAGTGGAGCGCGTTGGCAAGAATTTGGAGAAGTCCGAGATGGAGATCATGAATGAATTACCACGCGATAGCTCCGACAGGACGATAAAACTTGTTAGCATGCTATATGATTCAGCTGTCTCCTTCCTGAAGAGTCATAGTTTGAAACTTAGCATGCCCGAAGGATCAATCTCTCGTGCTCTGGTTGAAGGTAAGTCCTTCGTTTCTATCAAAAATTTTGATTACGCAATTGTCTATGTTTCCGTAACTATGTCTAGACGATGAACGTCACGGATTCGCGATGTCATGAGTATAAATGAATAAGCATACCTTTCACCTTCGTGATATCTATATGTACAGCGTCAAACCTGTTCCGGATAAACTCGTTCTCTTCGAGGAAGCATGAAAGATTCACTTTCTTTCTCAAATATATTTGAAAAAGTTTGAGAAGAGATTATTGTATAATGTTTTTAATATCTTTTAATTTCCAAATTTTCCCACAAGCATATATAGCAAATTATTTATCTTATTAATTTAAACCTCTCTTTCTTTATACATTAAAAACTTGTTAGTAACATGCTAGTAAATACATGTAATGTTAAACTCGTATCGATAATCGATACCTCTTCTATTATTTAGCAAGTGCTTAATAAGTCATAATAAATTTTTATAAATAATAAATTTTACTTTGTTGCACATCAAAATAATTAATAATAACAATTAATGATAAAAATAATAATTGTTTTTATCTATTTGCATTGATTTATATACATATTTTTTAAACTATACAATAAAATCTCTAATATAATTTTTAAAATACTAATTGAATTAACTTTTTTCTGAAATTAATTAGGACGTGGAAAGATCAAGAAAATGGTTTTGCCGCTGATTGCCGCGGCGGGTCTCAAGATTTTTGCGTTGGTACCGATTTTGTTGGGCGGTTTAGGCCTGCTGGCTTTGAAAGCCTTGTTCTTCGGTAAAATTGCCCTACTGGTCGCCGGCATCGTAGCGTTCCAGAAGCTTTTCGGTGGCAGCAACGTGGCAGGCAGTTTCTTCGGCAAGAATCCGGCACCTCTATTTTATGATACAGCCGCCCCAGGAAACTGGCCCGCTGCTGGTTCCCCAGGATTGCATCAAGGATACAGGAGCTTCGACATTGCTGACGCAAAGGTCGACGCCCACAATTTGGCATATTCTGCTCACGCACCAGTTGCTAACGACACAAATTAAACGAGGCCTCTTACTCGAGAGTTCCATGAAATTATGATATTACCGAAAGCCATATCTCGCGGGGCCAAAACATCTCCTCGAAGCCATCGGACCCACCTACGACTGCTAGATTAGTATTTATATGTGTATGTCATAATGTAATTTATTGACTATAATATAAATTATTAAACAATCGTATATATATTAAAATAATTAAATTGTTTGTACTTAATAAATTATTTATGGAAAAGATATATCTGTATATATTTGTAAGATTATGTTGCTTCGTTTTTGTATGTGCAGGCATAAGAATTAATTGCATAACACAAGAAGTTTATTCTCTTTTAGAATGCATATAAGAACTAAAATTTTAATTTGGAGAAATTATGGTCGCAAATATTCGACACAGTAAGGTGCATAGAAAATGTCATACGTGATTATTTTCCGTTAGTGCGAAATGATGACAATTCGCCGTGCAATCGAAGTCGTTCCAAGCTCATATGCGATTCCAATCGGATATGGACATACCTACAGGTCATTTACACTCCCACTTCTATCTTGTTCGGTCTTTCTTTCTCCTCGGCTGTCACCTCTGTCGCTTGTTCCATTTCTCTTGTTCGAGTGACTTCCGACTGCACGATTTGGGACACAAGTTTTACATGCCATACCGTGTCACCAAGAGACACGGAAATCTAATTTTCACCAGAAAGTGCGTGAAATGCGGCGATGATGACGTATGTAGTTGTAAACATAGAGGATGATAATTACCAATTGTAACTCAGACTATTGTATGCATATGTAGTGCAAATAAATTCTAGATATATATAAATGTATAATTTCTTAATGAGAAATTGCTTAACTAAACAGATCTTTTCAATAAATTTATGCAACGATGCAAAATATATGCTAAAAAGAATAATAGAGTGTGATAAAATGTAATTATACTTTTAAAGTCTAATATTTTAATTACAAAATTTTAATCTTTAATCATATGAAATTTTGTAATTGTATGTCCATATATTTTGAGGTTTATGTTAAAATAAGATTAATTTGTCTTAATTTAATTAAAAGATTTGTGAATTCTATATTTAATTTTAATTTAAATTATCGTCAAGAAGAAACTTTTTTAATTTAAGACACACGTTTTTACATATATAGGTTTTATAAAGATGCATTTTCTTAATTAGATAATTAATTTTGCATATATAATTAATAAATATTATTAAATAATTGGAAAAAGATGCAAGATAGAATTAATGTATGTCTATAGTAAAAATAAATAGAACGAAGATTTCACTTTTAACCGGAAAATTCGATTGAGTCTAAAAAATACGAAGAATCTCATAGATCCGAAAGTGATCATAAGTAAAAGGAAAATTTACTTGTACCGGTATACTCTACGTCACGCGATTCTTGTGCAGTGCATGTTCATGTTCGTTCTTCAGAGAGTCGGCAGAATTAAAATTCTTGACACCGCTGCCCTTGTACGTTACTTGCCAAATAGTTCAGCATGACCCCCACCACTCATCGATCGAGAGTTGTATAAAAGAAAAATTGTCCTGGGGCCAAACAGTCAAAAACGTTTCTTCGAAGTTGCACTATAAAGCACTTCGCGACAATGAAGACGAGAATAATCATTCTCCTGGCGCTGCAACTCGTGACATTGGTGGTATCTGATCCAAACCAGAAAGATGGAAATAGTTTGGAGCAATTGGAAGAAAAGCTCACGAGGGCGATGGACGAACTCAATAGAAAGGACACTATCGACATTTATGGTGATATGGTTACGCTGAAAAAGATTCCGGAAGACGGAAATTTGTCGCAAGAGAGTGCAGATCCGCTTGTGAGCAGAATCGAGAGATTTCTAAAAACTCGAAGAATACAAATTAATTTCCCAAATGATGCCTCAACTGCTGGTTTGTTCGGGCGCGCCCTCGGCCAGAAGAACATCGACATAGAACTCAAAAGTCTGACAAATGGAGCGTCCGAAGGTAAACAATACATTAGAAAAAAGTTATAATGCTTAAAAAGAAAAAAACAAAACTGAATATTAGCATCGTTTTATGTTTAATAGGTAAAGCAAATGTTATCAAATTTGTAAACTAGAGACAGTTTGTGAGCATTTATCTCTTAACTTATAAATTTACATAACAGGAGTATAATTAGAATAATCTAGGAAAATATGTTAGAAATATCATAAATATCATCTTTCGGAATTATTGAAACTATTTCAAATATGTGATCTAGTTTCGATAGAGTAATCCAAAATATTTTAATTAATATCAATAAAATCTATACTAAATCGTATTTCTTAAATTATTTCAGTAAATTGAAGAAACAATTTTTCCTTGCTGGTACATATATTTCTAGCTTATAGCATATATATGTATATAAAACTAAAAAGAAATAGTTGAAAGTTTAAGCATAACATAGATAAAAAAGATAATAATATAGAAAACAGAAAGAAGAGAGAAAAAATAATGATTTTTACTATATAAGCTATATTATAATAAATAATATTTGCTTGTATAAAATAATAGATATATTCATAGATATTACAAAATAATTTAAAATGTTTAAAATTTTAATTTGATATAAATTTTTAGAATAATAATTAACAAACATGTATTAATCTATTAAATTTACAAGCTTAATTTTGTTTATAATTATTTTGCTATAATTATTGTATAATATATTGTATTTTTCTACATTACAATTACCTTGTAATTGTGTTAAACAGTTCTTATTATAATATAGTTAATATATAATTGTATAATTAAACTTTTCCATATCTTACAAAAAAAAAAAATTATCGTAATCTGATTTTATGCTCCATTTTTCTTATATAAAATTAAATTTTTCCGTAAATATTTTAATAAAAATAAGTTATTAATAATAGCATTAAATCTAAGCTTCTGTTAGACCTTGGATCTAACACAAAAGTTTCTTGTTCTTGCCTAATGTCCCGATCTGGTATGAATACATCATTCGACATCATGGGCGCAAACTTATAGCGTTTTACCTTTCTAAAGTCTTACCAATGGGATTTAAGTAGCCCATGAATCTCAGTATTCATTGGTTGGAAAGTATAACTTGCATCTTCCTTTTCGATTCGGTCGCGGCCGAAATACCATTCACTCATTCCATATCTCTCTAGCATAGTTCTATCCTTTTTCTCATATTTATAAATTTTCTCAAATTCTTTCACTCGTATATTCACAATACGTGAAATATGTATCGTGCGAGTCTAAAAATACTTAAAAATTCAGATATATATCATTAACGCTATTCATTGATAGCCGCGCTGAGAAATCGAGATGAGAGAGAGAACGAAACGAGAAAATGAATACATACATAGAAAGCTGTAACGATGTGTTCCACTTCTATCATATCCGCGAAAACAGATACCGGAGGTAGGAGTGGACCAAAGTGGGTTACCGTTTGATAGGTTTGGTGGGATTCCGGGTTTCTGGGACGGCTACTGCAAGGTGTTTAAGAAAGACCTTGAACGAGAGTGTCGCATGTCGAAGAAAGTAGATTGGGAGATGAATGTCAATTACTGTATTTTAGAAATGCTCCTCGATCATCCAAGCATCCTATGATTATTAATATTTATGTATTAATCGTGTGCTCTACATTTCTATTATATTCAATACAAATCTTATATATGTTCCGGTATTATAAGCCTCTTTTTTATAGTATAATTTACTATAATTTAACTTTTACACATCATCCTTTCTTTTCTCATGTGTGTTTCCTTTATAATTATTAAAAATTGAATACACTATGATTACACCATATAATTAACTAAAAATGTTAACAAATAATATAATTATTCACAGAGAAGAATATATGATATATTATTTACAGCTCGTACAAAATTGAAGAAGATGATTATACCACTCTTACTTCTGTTGGGTCTAAAGGCAATAATTATTTTGCCCATCGTAATCTCCGCAATCGGTCTGATAGGCCTTAAAGGCTTGGGCGCAGGGCTTATATCGCTTGTGCTTTCCGGCGCGATAGGCTTGAAGGCCCTTCTTACACCACCGCCTCCGCCAAGAGTCAGCTATGGCATTGTGAGACCGCATGAAATTCATCACGATCACTGGCATAGATCAGAACAAGAAGTTAATCAACCTTATAAAGGCTGGACACCGGAATTGAATGGCGAACAATATCCATATCAAGACATTCCATAAAATGTCCTTGCCACTTGTTTATTTATTTATTTATTTATTGCGTGTCTCTGACACATACTTGCTTTATATATAAAATAAAATAAATCATCTTTTTTATACAATTTTGTTTTGATTATTGTTATTATTGGCTGAATTATGAAAGATGTCATATCACATTGGTGACATCGATAATATTCCACGAATTGTCAAAAACGTCATTGTGACATCAGCAAATTACTAAACTTACAATCAGATAAGTCATACTAATGCTCTAAATGTAAGATCAATAATAAGGATTATTTTTTATAATGAGGGTTTTAAATAAATAATTATATATATAAAATATCGATGTATTGAAATATCGATATATATATATATGTATAGTCATAAACGGGTTACTCAGTCGGCCAGACGAGAAGGCTAATGACCTAGATGGAGGTTCACGGACGGAGAGAAGATAGAATGCTGTTGTGAGAGTGGGAGAGATAGCGGAGAAAGACCGGATCAAGGTGGAGAACTAGGAAGAGGAAGGAAACGAGGTTACTGTGCCAGGCAAGGTAGGAAAGCGGATCGTAGCTACGATTGGTTTACCGAGTTCCCCCTCGATGCTGCATACATATCAAGGTCAGTGGGTCATTGCCTCCACGTGGTTCTCCACTTCCACTGTGGCAAGGTACGACCGTGGCCTTCTTGGTGGGAGCTTGAATAACGGCATCGGTTGTGATTAGTTGAGTCGTTCGAGAAGAGTGGGATGGCAAATACGGGTATATATGAACTGTTTGAGAGGACAGCACTGTCGAGAAGCAGCAAACACGATGAAGAACGCAAGTTCCGATTCTCATGCTAAAAGACATATATTTTTTTAAATGTATATTATTGTTTATAAGACGTCACAAGTTTATATTTTTAACTCACAAAATAAAATCGTGAAAATTTTTAATATACATATTCTATACACTTAAAAATTATTTATTTTGATAAAATATTAACAATATTAATATAAATTATTTGTTTCAATTTTATACTACTAGTATAACTAGTGTTCTGTATCTCTAATTATAATAAAAATATGCAACAAAATATCTATGACTAGACTTGAAAATATTGTTGCCTAAACTTATTCTTTTTTTATATAATATTAAAAGTTACAAATATATTCCATGACATAAGCCTGCAATTGTCATATCACAAATGTAGTTTTTATACATTTTTGTGCAAGTAGTTTCTAAAATTTTCTCTCTACACGTATTCTTCATTTTTATAATATTACTGTTCGTATTAATTTCTAAAGATATAATTCTATAAATATAGAAAATGTAAAATTACATGTATAATAAAAGTTTTAAACAATATGTATGTACTTTTCAAAAATTAAACATTTTTACGTGTTTTTATAGTTTCTCATTATTTTATATAAATATACATACAATATATATACATACATACATATATACAAACATACATACATATATATACATATATACAGATTACAAAACACACATTAATGTAATAATATTTTACGATTATATACCACTTGAAACTTTTGCGTTTTCTTACATTTAATAAATTCTTATATTTGATAAATTAAATTAATATGTTAACTCACACATATATTACGAAAACCAAAAGTGGAAAGAAATATTTCACAAATATACTGCTTGAAATATAATTATACATATATATAGTTTGACAAAAATTATTTTTATTATTAGCTAAGAAAGTAGATTAAAACATTTTTATATTTATGAACTTAGTAAAGTTTCTAAACATTATTCGAATTTTTTAATATTAAATAAAAACTAGATTGTGACAATAAATTATTTCGCACCTTGACATGATTAGGCCAATAGCGACCGGGTTGTTCGAAATGTAACTCATTGAGAAAACCGCAGCGTAATCGCGCTACATCACTCTATTCTTACAAATCGCTGCATAGAAGAAATTTGTAGCTTTTAACATTTATTTCGAACTGCCGCGAGAAAAATGCAAAAGTATAAACGCACGCGATGCATTTTTAGTATATAGCGGATGTGCGTTCTCGAATTAACGAGGTCTATGCAATCACTCGGGCAGCACCAACTGTATCAGAAGCAGTAATTTCACCTTTCTTCTTTTCTTCTTGTTTGACACTTTGATGCATAAATCATATATGCACTACATACATATGCTCATTAAGCACATTTCTCTAAAATAAATTTGTGTATTCTTTAAAACTAGATTTGAAAATTACGATATTTTTGACAACAAGTAGATGCATATAAATGTATATATAAATAAGAGAAATATGTATAATTTTTATAGTATATTATAATTATATATTATAATATATTTATCAGCTGGATATATTTTAAACAACTGGTTAATATGTAGATAAACAATATTTTTAAATTTATGAAGTATATTTTTTGCCACGTATGTTGATTTATTATCTAATTGTATTTATCAACAAGAGCAAAAATATTATTGTAAGATTTATAAGAGTTTTAGAGAAAAATAAATCCAACAACTCCGTTTTTTGCACAAATGTAGAAATATTTATAATCAAAATAATAAGTCAAACTTACTCGTTAAAGCACTGGAATCTTATTTTTCTCGGTAAAAAATAGTGGCAATGTCACTTATAAAATAAAACAACAATTTATATGCTTGTGCATATGTGCACCAAAGTAAAGAACGACAAAGATTGCTTTCCCAGAAGCAAGAAAATCGTCTGTAAAAATGTTACAGGTACTGTTTATTAGCAATGTGATAAACAATGTTTTCTCCAGACGTTCGATAATTTCCAGTACGAATAATTTTTCCAGATTACATACGTATATATTTCTAAATTTCTAACTGTCCCATTATTGGTATTTTAACAATTTCAATATGTAAGAATATGATTTGCTGCGATAACTATCAAGGAGAAATTATTGATACGTTTTATTGCTGATTCTGCGTGAATGTTCTTTGAATTGTGGCAAATTATTAGGTAAATGCGAACGACTTTCTTGAAATAACGCCTATCTCAATTTCAACTGAAAATAGGGTAACTATGGTGTTCCGGAATGCACAATAATGGTCTTCATACGAATTCTCTCGCTATAACATTATATTCGCACTTGTAAATGCATGCTATAGCCTATTATTTTTTAAGTACTCTATAATAAAAAAAAATTCTATTCTTTGTCATAAATTTCACATATTATTATCGCGATAATAAGAATTTAATTTGAAAGATTCTTTTGTTTTTATTAAAAAAGATTTTATAGAATATTTTGAAAGTTTATTATTTATTCTATATAATGTGCACTATTTTTGTTTTAAAGTATGAAAATATGATGATTAAAATAAATAAGTAAAATAAATTTAAATAGAAATACACATATTAACTTTTCTTTTCTTCTTATATCTTTTTTTATCTATCATAGACTATTTAATGATGAATCGTGAGATTAAATGGCATTATTTTTTGTCGAATGTCCCAAATACAGTACAATGTTGCGGTTTCAGTTAATGTCTACTCTCTAAAAACCAGGAAGTACAGATTATACTGCGGATAGTTCTAGTTGAGGTTTGACAAAATAAAAAAAAGACAATAAAATTACAATGTCAGAATAAGTACGTGAATGAACGTGTGATCAAATATATATCAAATATTTTAATATCTCCTTTTACTATAACTTTTTTTATTTAATTAGCAATGAAGATAAATGCAAAATATATTTTGATTTTTCTATAAAATTTTTGATTTAATTAATGAGGGAGATAAATGCAAAATATTTTTTTTCCTATTTATCCCTTTCGTCGATGTTTACGATCGTGAAACGCCCACTATTGGCTCGATCTGTCGCGCATAACTTGACGAGAACAGGAACAGCGTGACGCGTTCGAGATCGCGCGATTATTAACGAAAGGAAGGCATCGCATGAAAAAGGAAGCAATAAATGGCGAAATGGATGCTTCAAGAAGAAGGCTAGTCCGTTCTAAGTCGGCACACCTGCCGCATGGTTTGCGAGCGCGTCATATCAAGACGTGCAACGCATACAGATACATACGTGCATGCCACGATAAGATCCTATCGAGTTGCTCGTGAAAATCGACTGCGTACTTTCACATCGGCAGATCCGTCTGAAGCGCTATTGCTCAAGCGTAGCGCGCGAAAATCGGATCTCCTACAAGCTAGCTAAACTGGGCTGATTTAAAGTAGGACTCCCGTCTCGTTTCGCCTCGCCTCGCAATAATAATTTTCATGATATACTTATCGTGACAAATTTTTCACTCTGCGATTCTTACTTGTGTCCGGTTTGCAAACTTTGTAAAATTTGTCCTGTTGGCCTTTTGGTTTCATTCATGAAATCGAAAGTGACCTTGCGCTGGGCGATCGAGTGCCGATGATACCGGCAATTATCAATTAAATAATTTACATGTAGTTGGAATGATTAATCCAATTGATTTCATCCCTATATCGTGTTATTGTCTCTAATTTGAAGTTAGCTTTTGTTCTATTCTTATAAAATTACATTTTTGTAATAACGCAAGAACAATTTCTAGATTTTTTGGATCAGATGTATAGACACTTTATATTGTATATATATTGTATATATATTGTATATATATTGTATATATATTGTATATATATTGTATATATTAATTATTATATAAACTTATAAATAAGAAAGATATGAAGAAATTTTTTATAGATTATAGCATTGATTATTAGATAATATAAGAGATGCTTAAAAAATAATTAATCGCACGTATACATCAACTTATTGTCGATAACACAATTAAATTGGTATCGAGGCGGTGAGCATTCGCTCTCATTCATCATTTATCGTACTCGTTTATTGGTAATGTTTTTTTTCTTACGTAAATTTGACTCAGATTCGAATTCTCCGCTCTATTTGACGCTCCCTCTTGCCGTAGCTACTGGGCGGCTGTGAGAGGCCCCTGCCTCCTCTTCAACATCCACAAAGAAGAGAGTTCCGTCGCCGGTACTCTCGACTACGGAGAATGTATGAAACGACCGAAAGGCAAAA